CGTGGAGCATCGTCACCGTCGCCAGCAGGAGAACGGACGACGCCGTGGCCATTTCCCGAATACTCATTTTCGTACACTTCGTTTGAAGATTGAAAATTTTTAGCTTATTTATTAAGTAGGTAAATAAAACATTGATTTTAATTAATAAAGAATATATGCATCGATATTAAGTGTTCCCAACACTGTTCCAACTTATACCTAAAGTGACGTGGCGCTGGAGGTAAGTTGAAAGTTCAGAATCTTGGCGGTTAAAGGGTTATTATTGTAACCGCTAATAAAATACTAATATACTAATTATACTGAAATGGCAAAAATAATGGAAACCATTCTCTCCTACCCTAAATTTTTGGAATAGATGGCAAATGGCAGACGGATCACCATCAGATCAGCGATCAGCGCCGCCCATGGACACCCGCAACAATAGAGGAGTCACAAATGCGTTACTCCTGATTCAATTTCGTTGCGAAATTCACGATACAGAACAGATTTTCACGTCTGTAGAACACATTGGGTTTCAACACATCCTCCTCTAGTGTCGGACAATGCTGATCGACACTAGCGGAGAATTAGCCTTTAACAGTTTTGTCGGTTTAATTCAATGTATTTTATAGTTTGTCGCCACTGTCAATGTATGATGGGCTTGTTATGGCTTTCTTTCAAGTGACATTTTCGGTTTAATTGAAATAAATGCTTTGACTTCGTATCAATACAAGATGGAATACTCTATGGGTTGTCGTAGAAAGGTATAAAAGATTTTTATGTACATTTCTATATATATAACTAAGGGCTGATTTTCAATCAAAGAACAATTGTTAACTGTAATATAAAATTTACATTGGACAGTTTTTGGTATGGAAGAACTGTTAAATAGTCAAAGTTATTCCTCTGATAAAATTTATCGGGCGTTGGAAAAATCAGCCCTTAGCCTGTATAGATTATATTTATAGTTTGACTAACATCGCTATAGCCTTGTTGTATGCGGCGAGGTGGAGGTTCAAAAATGGAATCATTAAAGTTCACGATAAGGTTGATATTTGGACCGAACAAAGCGGTAGCTAATAGTCAGTACTCCTTCACTCTCGCCACCTCTAACCTAAAGCGCGATGCAGTCAAGAAAATACTTCTGTACCCTATAAGTCCAATAGGCATAGTAGTAGTAGTAGTAGTAGTAGTAATATAGTAACATCAAAAAACTGTACAACGCACATACTATACGAATATCTGATAAGATATAAGATTACAATACAATAAAAAATATGTAGTTTACAAAATATCCTAGATATTCTTATGTAGTATTTGTTCTTGACTCGATTTTTACAAAATCAAAAATAGACTAAGCGATGCAATGTACAGTACCTAGTCCTACATAAAATGTAATAACTATATATTGGTAATGGTACAATGAGATTTTGTTCTTATAATATACTTTTAATTAAGTCTTCTTATGAGTTAAAATCAATGGTACACGCTAATCAAAAGCTAAGTAAGTGGAATAATTCAATGGCTCTCTAGTCATAAGAATGTGTAACTAAAATAATGTTTTTCTGTAATTTCAATTGTGCTCTATTTAAATAAGGAAGGAAGGGTACCCTATTTTGTTCACCAGGTAGCACTAGCACTAGTGCGGTGATCGCGTTCTTCGTCCAATAGGGAATTAGCTAGTGGCACACGATTGGGCGTTTAATTTTTAACAGCTGCAGTGACTAGAGAAAAAACATCTTGCTACAAATGCTATATTGGATGCCAGTGGCGAGTTGTCGTTCGACGTAGAGGACCAAGGGGGGAAGCCTTTGTCCAGCAGTGGACGTCTATCGGCTATTAATGATGATGATGATGACTTTTACGCTATCTGATGACCTCAAATACGGTAGCTCCCACTACATCACTGGTCTTTTAAGGGCCAGAGAGGTTGAGGGAGGATTAGACCATAGGAGAAGCCTCACTCACATGTAAAGTCTTGGTATCACTCCGGTCAACCACGAACTAACTTTTTCGTACCGAAGTATGGACCTGGTGAAACAATGGCATCTTGAGATAAGATCCAAGTTGTGGGAGGTAGATAGCACTTGATTTTATATAAGACTAGCGACCGGCCCCGATTTCGCACGGGTGCAATATGCATGTATTATACATATAAACCTTTCTTAAGAATCACTCTATCTGTTAAAAAAACCGCATCAAATTCCGTTGCGTAGTTTTAAAGATCTAAGCATACTTAGGGACAGACAAACGGCGGATTTTGATTTAAGGGGGGGATCATCGAATGATTGCTCCCGCCTGGGTGAGGCGGGAGGGAGTGTCAGACTCTTACTGACTAAAAACCACCCCGTTTCTTCTCCTGCACGTCGAGCCGGAGCCCCGGTTACCCGTTAGGTTCTCCGCGACACAGTCGGCGGATAGGGACTTTATTTTATACAATGTAGTGATACTGATATACTTTTGGATCTGATGTCTCAACAACGAGCCCAAAAACGAATCGAGATCCTACTAATAACATAAATGTGAAAGGTTGTATGCTTTTTTATTACTCCTTCGCATCAAAACGGCTGAAGGGTTCGGGATGAAATTTGAAACAGTGGTAGATTATAGTCTGGTATAACATATACTATATTACTTTTTATCCTATGAGAACGTGGGCGAAGTCGCTGGCAGTATAAGAATAAGCGAAGGAGGTCTTAACTAGATGTATGAACGTGAAGCAAACTTAAGTATGAATCGTGATAGTTTTTTTCAAAGTTCTTTACAGAATTTTCTTATTATTATGCTTCAATAGATTATAAGATTGATAATCTATTGAAGCATCTATTATAACGTGTGGTATTTTTTTTTAAGAGGGGAAAATCATCGAATGTCTGCTCCCGCCTGGGTGAGGCGGGAGGGAGTGTCAGACTCTTACTGATTAAAAACCACCCCGTTCCTTGTCCTGCACGTCGAGCCGGAGCCTCGGTTACCCGTTAGGTTCTCCGCGACATAACGTGTGGTATAGAGAGCGTTCACAGACGTCCTCCATCACAAAACGAATGACTATTGTTACACTTTTTTCTTTGGTAAGAAATAATTTCTATCTGTTTCTGTTCACAAAAAATAATGTCGATATGATTGCCATATCTGTTAACAAACTAGAATTTTCTTAAGAAAATCCTTCATGAAAACACAGATAATCACATATTTTGTTAAAGACGTACTTAACGATACTTTAATAATCTTAAAAGAGTTCAACTATAACATACTGGCACATCATAACATGTAATCACACACGTATTAAACAATTGGGTACTTTCCAAACAATCACATTCAATACTAGTTGGCAAACTGGCAAAAACTGGTTTAATCACTTTCAATACTAATTTTAATTCTGTGAGTTTTGTACGAGATTGTGCGGTGCGGTCACCTATTGAAACGGTAATATATTGAAACTTAGATAGAAAAAAAAAACAATTAATTAAAGTGTGATTACTTTTACCGGACTATATTGTTTAATATTTATTGTATTGAAAAGTCGAAACAATTTATTTTTGACTAAGGAAAGTACCGAATTGTTTATAATATTACGTTAAATACTAACTTATTACAATATGTACTGTCAAATAATGGGAAGATGTCGATTCTACTAATAATTTGAAAAAATCAAAAGCTCGAGACGTCATCCATACACAGTTACACACCACTCATGATTGTGAGCTCCGTTGTGACTTGAAATTAGTTGACCATCGTCGAACAGTGAATAAACCACATCTTTCGATCAAACAGTGCTTATTTCAAATCACGCAAACAATTAGTAGAATCAAGCATTAAAGAAAGTAAATAATAATTAGTTTGAAAATTAAATCTTTAACTAAATATTATAATATGTAGAAAATTAGTCCCTACCCATTATCTACACAGATTTTCGCTGAAATACTTAATCACTCAATTTAAAGTCGCGGTTACGTATAGTTCTGTCACTACAAATTCTTTGTAAAATGACAGAGATGGAACTATATTTAGTACAACTTCAAATTGAGTCGCCTTTCAGTATTCGGACGATTAAGCCTAAAAAGTGGATAAGTAAGTATACCGCCATATAAAATATATACTATTAAATGCGACGTGAGCAGAGTTACATTTTGAGCATTGCGTCAATTTGCGTTAAAAAATGTATGTGCTATTCAACATCATTTCGTGTTCGTGGGTTTTTGACCGCCCAGTAGTAAACTACGGTGCGACCAATGTTGAAGCACGCCCAACAAGTATTTTATTTACCAGAGACGTTTCCCTTTTTCGATAACTTCAAAAATCGCCTAGCCATTGGCGAGTAAGATTAGGCAGTGTGGGATTGTTACCTCACTAAAACCCCGCCGGTGGCCATCATTTGCGTCTATTAGGGTCACTGGGTCCTCTTGATAGATCAATCCTGGAGCCCTCACGGTGCAACGTCTGTTCGACACATCCATAAGTATCCCTACGAGTCCCTTGAGCCTCGTGCATACACGACCCTGGCACAATCTTTCTTGAGGTTAACTACTAGCGCCTTTACCAGCACTAATTCAGACGCCTTCAAGAACATGATATGTACACTAGTACCACCACCGATTGGTAGATATAACTTTAAGTACAATACCTACATGTTATTTTGGCACATGTCAAAAGATTATTTATTTATTTTTAGCCATGTTCGTCCCACTGCAGGGCAAAACATCCCTACTCTCCTTCCACTTATCTAATCTACAAAAGTCAAAAGATTCCAGGTGAAAAATGCTATCAAACCGCTAGTTGGTATAGACAAGCGAATACCTTAACTACTTTCTTAACACAAAAGAATTGAATAATATAACTACATGAGACATGTAGATAGTTAAGTTTTACTGAAACACTGGCGTTTTGAACTCCTTTTTTTACATCAAAATCACACGTAGAATCACCCAATCCTAGCAACTATGTCGCAATTTACCTAAACAACTTTGTATCGTAATTCAGTTACAGTAATGGTACGAAAAGACCAACAAATCACAATGCACATTGATTTAATCATCATTTTAATCAAAACACATTTATCTTTCGTCCGAAAGTCACTTAATATCAAAGTCCGAACAAGTTTGTGCTACAAAAGTAAAAAAATATATCGACATAACATCGAGATTCTTTAGAACTATGACGAGATAGACAAACGTATTCCTTAAATCTATATGTACTTAATTTTAGGTACTAAAATAATAATGACTCCGATTATATTCTAGTGGGTTTGTAATATGCGCGGTATTTTTACAAAATACAAAACAAAAAATGTTGCATATGTTGAAATCTCAAAGAATTAATTTATAGGAATGCAGTCAATTAACCTTGGCAGCAAAAAATATAAGTAAAAACATCCCGAAGACAGAGAAAGAAAACTTGAGTAAATCAATCCTATTTTACATTTAAAATCCAATCACTCTATTGACTTTGGTATTATTCAATCATTCAATCACTTATTCGATTTAAAATTAACTTAATTTTAAAAGGTGGGAGAAATTTGCAAGCGGTGGGTAAATCACAATAAATGAAGAGGTGAGGTCCGATAGTTTGATGAGGAACAAACATGCAATGATATTGAACACGAATAAGCACGAAAAATAATTAATAGTACCCTTTGGGTACATGATCAAACATTCAATAACTAGATTACATCCACATTTTAGTTATTAATAATATAATACTATTTGCTGCCATTTTTACTGGCAGCCTTTTAAATGCCAAACTAAAAATACCACGCAAATTACACGAAAAATCACAATGAAACTTTTTAAGTACTTATTAGTGCTAATACTGTTTACAAGAAGTACAATTTGTTAGCTAATGTTTCAGCTGGTTCTTGATGTATGCTACTGCCAACTAAAGATGCCAGTTTATGTGCATACTGGCACGGGGCTGGCACTCTGACTGTGCCAGGCCAGTTGTAGTACAAATGGCATAATTTGTATGTCAGTCTTTGGCATTGGTCGGGCGTCATGTCACTGTCATCGTGGACTACTACGTAATGTGTGGGGGTCACTGTACCTTGGTTCACCTTCTGTGATACTATTAGGAAGTCGTACCTGGAATTGAGAAAAAAATATAGTAAGATTTGATTTTTAAATGAGCAATTTTGGCAACTAATGAGTGTGGTTAAGTGTGGGAGAGTTCGGCACGAATGGGCCAGTTCGATCGGAGTACCACGGCCTCACGGGAAACCGACGTAACAACGGTTGCGTTCTGAGGAGACCGACTTCCTAATTTGCCCAATCTCCGAATCCCCAACAATCCTCAAATTCCTAATACCCGAAAGGCCGGTAACGTACTTGTAACACCTCTGGGGTTGCGGGTGTCTATGCTATTACTGCTTACCATCAGGCCAAAAAGTTCCGAGTCTAATGCCAAAACAGTTGAAAACTTAAACTGTCAAACACCAAGCGGTCACCGGTGACCGCAACCTATTGTTCTATAATTGTGTCTACAAAACCGGTACTCGACGAGTTAATTTTTCTTAGGAAGATTTAGAAAATAAATAGGTTTTTTACATTCCACAACTACATTTTTAACCTCCTCGAAGATTTGTCATTCTCCATGATTGGCCAGATAGTTAGGAGATCCTCCTTTAAAAGAACAGAATACGATTTAAACGCTAAAAACAAATACACTTACCAATCACGTCTAGTAATATCATGGTCCACAATAGTTCCCGGGTTAGGATTTTCTAGCCCACCCGGTGTCTTCAAAAATATTCTCGTGTTGATACGTTTCTGTACAACTAAATAAGTTATAGCCGGTACAGTTCTGCCTTCAAATGAAGATAAGGAAATCTGCATTTGTGGAATTTCGAAGTCCTTAATCACTTTTAGTTCACCGTCGCCTACACCGTCTCTGAAAAAGGAATTAATTACATGTAATATTTATATAACATAGAAGAAAGTGCGGGTTCGAAACTTACAACGGCAAGTACCAACGTGACTTTTGCCTAGTCATATTTTTTTTTAAAACGTTGCCCCACATTAGGATTTTTTCCTGTGTCGTGGGTGAGTTTACAAACATACAAGTTCACATACACATGACACCCAGACCCGGAACAACAATCTGTGGTTCACACAAAGAGTTGTTCCGTGCGGGAATCGAACCCGCGACACATTGCGCAGCAGCCAGTTGCCCAGCCACCGCGCCAACCGTTGTACTATTTAAGATTATCTAGACTCCACTGACCAACGGTGAAGGAAAACATTGCGAAGAAACCTGGACTTTATAATTATAAGTTTTGAACTCGCCACCCCGTATTGAGCAAGCAAGCAATGCTCAAACCTACCCCGTGAGATAAGGCCTTTGGTCAGCAGTGGAAACTTATAGGTTGATGACGATAATACGAGAGCCATGCAATAGTGTACTAGTCCATTGCCATACACTGATCACAATACCGGCTCTAGACTTCCACTACTACTGAGGAGAAAGTGGAAATAATTTGAGGAAACCTTCAATACGAGATTGGCGAATTTAATTTAAGGACACGCCTCTATACAAACTTAATTACATTGAATAAACTAATAAGAAAGCTTGATAATATTATCTTTAACAGATGTAGCGTACTAGCGTCACTGGCTATGACGTTCTTCTAATACTGATAATTTCGAAATTGAAATTTTACTGACTCAAACGCGGGAAAAGCAAATAACATCACCATTTTTCTTTCTATTACATAACATAACATATCATAACATCACGCCTTTTATCCCCGAAGGGATTTTTTTTTTAAGGGGGGAAGATCGTCGAATGACTGCTCCCGCCTGGGTGAGGCGGGAGGGAGTGTCAGACTCTTACTGACTTAAAACCACCCCGTTCCTTCTCCTGCACGTCGAGTCGGAGCCCCGGTTACCCGTTAGGTTCTCCGCGACTATAGGGATAGGCAGAGGTGCACATTACGGCACTTATACAATGTAACACCCACTTTTCACTATTTATGTTATGAGTCCCATATGATAGGGGATGAGCCTATTGCAATATACCGGGCACATTTTCAGACTCCGTGCTATTAATGAGGTTTTTACAAACTCAGTAATACTTTCCCCGACCCGGGAATCGAACCTGAGACCCCTTGCCCGGCAGTCGCATTTGCGACCACTCATCCAATGAGGCAATCTTTCTATTACTTTTAAGGTTATGCTTTATATGATAAAAAAATAAAACAAAAAGTACCTGTATATAATAATCCTATCTGGTAAGTTACCATTTACACTGAGGTAGACTCTGATAGCCTGTACGAAGCAGTCTCTGAGATGGTCGGCTATCTCCTGGCCGCGGCCTTGGAACACAACCTTTGAGTACCAATGAGTCATTGATTGATTGTACGATGCGACAAAAGCTGAAACGATAAAACTTTTTATTAGAAGAGTATTTTTTTTATAGAATATGAGGCAGAAGGATCACCTTACTCTTGTGACCTATCTCAATGTCAATGCTATTTCAATCCAATAAAATCTCAATAATTATTCAATGTCAAAACTATACAACCACAATCGTAGCTGTTAATATAGCATTTAGACTACGGGATATAAAGCCACACAATACCATTTAGTACATTCAATATCCACGCAATACGGATGCAATGGGCGCTAGTGTTGCAACTCAAGAGTACGAAATTTCGCAATACCAATGTCGAACGATCGGAATTGGATTCTAGAGTAAGCCACCTGATGGTAAGCGATCAACGCCGCCCATGGACACCAACACGTGCGTTGCCGACCTTTCAAGAAGGAATATGCTCTTGAAGGTTTGAAGGTCGTATCGGTTCGAAAATACCGCCGACGACAGATCATTCCAGTTTTGCTGTGCGAGGCAGAAAGCTGCGAGAGAAGCGCACAGTTGTGGCCTGCCAACCTGTCTTTATGATGGGAATGTATACGCTGTCGTGAAAGTCGATGGCGAAAAGACGCCGCCGGCAGATCAAACAATTCCTCAGAGCACTCCCCGTGGTATAAAGTAAAGAAAATCTAGCCGGTTTGAAAAATCCCGAATCCACAATCCGAACGGCACGCCGCTAAAAATTTAACAAACATAAAATATAATCACTAAGATTTTCGACCGAACCGAAAATGGCAATCCAAAATCTCATCTCACTGTAAATGAATAGTCAGTAGTTATAAATGCAAGTGGTTTATTTTTGCAACTATTTATAAACCTACAAACCGTTATGCCAATGTCGTTAAATCTCCGAAGGAATAGAAATAAGTGTAAATCTATACATATATAAATAATACATATAATTTTTTTATAATAACTATCGTGAGACATACTAAATTAAGTAAAAACGCGGGTTACTCACGTGAATATACTGAGAAAAGCTCTACTACGCGACTAACTACTACTAAAAGCGACCGCGCACGCTGCTCATGAGGAAGAACCCCTCTGTGGTTCGAAACTAGTAGAGCTTTTCTCAGTATATCCACGTGAGTAACCCGCGTTTTTACTTAATTTAATACATATAATAAAATCGTAGGAAAGTGAAAACTGAACATCGAATATTTTTTTTAAATGAATGCTTTGGACGTCATCTACAATCGATACTGAAGCCAAAAATACGGTTTTTAGAATTTTGTCTGTGTGTATGTATGTCCGGAATGAACTCGTAAAGTGCCGCACGGATTTACCTCAAATTTTGCATGAATAGTACAGATAGGTCGGGTCAATATATATATTATCATACTATCACCGGGATAGCGCTACGCGGGATAGCGCTACCGTATCACCTACGGGAGAGGAGCTGTGAATCACCCTTCCACGCAGACGAAGTCGTGGACACAGCTAGTATTTAATGTAACACAAATTTTTAGCAGTTACTCACATACCTAATAAAGAGTGAGCCTATAGCCATATACCGACAACAATTCCATCCGCACTATATTGGTAAAAAATGTAAAAAAAAAAACTTGCGGGGTTATCATATTCAATTATGGATAAAAAGCCCCAAAACTATTAAAAAAATGAAGAAAACTCACCGCAAACGCTCTGCTTCTTCCGCGAAACATCGTGGTAGGAATCGATACCAATGACCATAGCTGACTTGAATGGTATATTAATGTTCCATAGAGTGCCGCCCAGCTTACAGTTCATTTGAAGAAGAATCTTCTGCGTTATAGAACGAATCTTATTCGGGTTCATTAATGTACGGGCGTTTATTACCTGAAAGTGGTTTAAAATAAAAATGGGCATTAATACTTCCTTAAACATAAAGACGCAAGATTTGATTGCTAACATTGAATAAGCTCTGAACCCAATAAACTGATTTTAAAAATTTTATCCTTGTGATGTTTACTTTTAAGAGAGTAACATAGCTCTCTTTAATACGTTGATATATCGTACCGAAAATCACCAAAATTTGTTCATACAAAAGTAGTCTCTAAAATATCGGAAATAAGGTCTATAATGGAGTTAGTGGAGAGTGGTCAGTGACCGCTTGGCGATTGAACAGTTAAATGTGGGAGACATGCTTCGGTACTAATGCGCAGGCTCGACCGGAGTGATACCACGGTCCACGGCCGACATGAAAGTGAGGTTACCGGAGGCCCAATTATTAGGAAAAAATCTATTTACCTGGGATGGCACAGGATTGTCAGCACAGCATATCTTCTTGATAACTCCATAACGATCATCCCTAGCAGACGGGCAGATGATTACGACAATCTGTAAGTCTGGCACGATGAGCTTCTTCAACGCGTGCACGTACGCATCCGTGCGGTCGTTCGGTAGACGAAACATTTCAGGGTCGCTGACATTTATACCCATTGGGCGACAGGAGCGCTTCAATGTGTCCACAAAGTCCTGTGAATTTAAAGCAGATTATAATTATATCATTAGATATAGTTAAGCAAAGATCAATGTGAAATATTTGTAAACAGACTACAAAAGATAAGACTACATTCTAGGCCGGAAGTCCCAACAGTGATTATTACAGAATTTGGGTGAAAAAAATCCATTTACAGATTTTCAACTTTATTATTAAAATACACAAGGTTGAATATCTTTCATACAACTTTTATCTGAAGAAGTTTTCAGTTAGGCTGCAAAAGATTGTTATTTATATGTTTAAACTGTCAAACAACAAGCGGCCACCGGTGACCACAACCTATTGTTCTATAATTGTGTCTATAATGACGGTACTCGACGAGTTAAAGCTACTCCGGCGCGGTTTACTCGCTCAGCTCGGCTCCAATAAGGCGTAGCGTGATGTTTTATGACCTTCATCGATAAACGCACTATCCAACACAAAAAGAATTATTCAAATCAGTCCAGTACTAGTTCCTGAGATTAGCGCGCCCAAACCATCTCTTCAACTAGTAGTAATAGAGTAATAGAAGTAGTCTATAGATACAAATAAATAAAATTAGAGTGTCTGTTTGTAATATTAAAATAACCGCATTTTACTACATGCATATGAATATACAGACAATACACATACAAAAATATTTTTTTACAAACTTTGTCTGCGTGTTTGTTCTTTTAGTACTGGCTAATCTCTGGAATGGCTGGACTGATTTTGCAAGACTTTTATTAGCAGTTAGCTGATGTACTAAGGAGTAACATGGGTTACTTTTATTTTTGAAAATTGTAACAAAAAATGTTATGTTCTAAAATTTATCTTCTACAACAGGTAGGTAAATATTAAATAATAAAGTAAGAAGATATTATTAAAAACAGCAATATATTTTCCACTTACCGCTACAACTCTCTTATCCCTATCAGTGTACAGGAGCGCCCATTTATAAATATCGACTGCTTGCATCACATGGTTTTTTGTGACTTCACCGTTCCACTCTGCATTGGGTCTGCCTGGCACTCGGACATTGTTACCAAAGAACAGAGTCTCCGGTTGTAACGTTCTGGCTGTTATGTTGATAGTCTCCGGAGCTATGCTCAGACCCCAACCAGATAGTCGACGCTTTGCATTTTCGTTTTTCATCACCGTTTCTATGTACTACGGAAAATATATTTTTAATGTTTGTAAATTTTACCGATCTCTAAATAGCTAACATTAATTATAAATACTGTATAAAAATATATACTAAATAACTATACATAATTATTGTAATCAAACTCAGCGTTGTAGCGCCTTTAAATAGGCCTCACGAACTATCCTTACAAAATATCCCTCCTTCAATATTATATGAAGAAAGGATATTTTTGTTTTCATTTGATTATATTGTAACCATTAAAAACCATACTTTTCAGCAAGTAACATACACCCGTATATTGAAAGGCTACTCAATTTTAAGTCGCGGTTAAGTATAGTTCTGTTACTGTGAAATGTAAGAGTTTTTTTTTTACGATCGGAAACTCATCGAATGCCTTCTCCCGCCGGGTGAGGCGGGACGGAGTGTCAGACTCTTACTGACTAAAAACCACCCCGTTCCTTCTCCTGCACGTCGAGCCGGAGCCCCGGTAAACCGTTAGGTTCTCCGCGACTCCGTATCGGCCCTATTGGGCCACATTCGTGGTGGTCTGATGGCTCTTTGAGGTGCGCGCGGAACGCTCGGTGCCGTAAGCTCGGGTCTGTTTCTGGTGGGACGGGGGACTGGCCACCCATGCTCGCCGTCCGCAGGCCCGCGCTTACGGTGGCCGGAGATCGTAAAATGACAGAGATGGCAATGTAATGAAGAATGATATTTAAGTACAACTTACAATTGAGTGGTCTTTCAGTACCTGGGCGTTAAGCACTTATAACTTCGCACGGTCAAAACAATCGGAAATCAAGATTTTAGTTTATATCTCTATCTGTTTATAATAACCACAAAAATACACAGAACTCAAGTTCAAGCAAAAAGCAACTTTACAGCTGTAAAAATAATATACCTTTTTGAACGCCGCGTGACGTTGGTTCGGCGTTATCTTAGTATGACATGCCACATCCTTCATCAATTTGAAATTGCTTCGTTGATCATCCGTGAGACCAGTTAGCTGGCACAGTTCAGGAATTAAAGATATCATGAAGTCTGTTTTACCTTCTGTGCCAGGCAAAAGTTTTGAATCCCTAAAAAAATTGAAAAATTGATTACTAGTACTTTATTTGATTATGTATGAACTTATACACTCTGACAGAAACAAAAACAAACAACTAAACAGTAATAAATTAACTATGATTTACGGCTTTCACACAACTTTGTTGAGGTAACTCAACTACTTTCGAAAGCCAGGGGCTCATAGACAGGAGCATTATTGCAGTAGTTATTAAATTAGCCACAAAACATAATCAACTATATAATAATGTCAGTGAAAGTAGGTAATAATACAAAAGCAATACCCTTTTTCCTTCCTAAAATATTGTTTACTGTTTTTACTCATAAAATGAATAATAAGAAGGTCGCATATTACAAAATTTTTTATGCAATTTGCAATGATGGTATCCTTACCTGGATATTAACAATGGTTGATCCCAGTCTTTGATTTCAATACCATATTGTTTCTTATAATAATCGACGTAACTTATCTTTACCGGTACACCATTTTCCAGCTTCTCAAATGTTGATCGTGGCGTCTTTTCATCGTCAATACTGTCTACCCTGCAAAGAGAATAAAATTATTAGTATACAATATTTTAACACACTTTTCACTATTTATGTTATGAGTCCCATGTAATAGGGGGTGAGCTTATTGCCATATACCGGGCACACCTCCAGACTCCGTGCTAACACTGAGAATTTTTTAAATAGCCAATAATAAACTTTGCCCGACCCGGGAATCGAATCCGAGACCCCTCGCCCGGCGGTCGCACTTGCGACCACTCAACCAACAAGGCAGTCATATCTACATAATGTCTTATATTATGATGATGATGATTCGTAAAATTGCTGCATTATTCTAGTGTGTTCGATACTCTAGTTACGTGGTTAAAACATTAGTCTGGACCTTTTACAATAATCTTCAATACTAACGGAGTCTGAATACTGATTGCAAGGTTAGGTTACAGCTTAAAATCTCAGACATCAAATTTAATTTTAGATAGGAACAATAGGGTAGATGCCTAATTTTTATTTTAATGTCCGTCTCGTAGATTATTTTAAATCGTTAGACACGTATTTTTTATTTTTTTACAGAAACGAATACTTTCGAAATATTTTGATTAGAAATGTCGCGTGACATCACTTCTGAGTACATTTTATACGTAGAAATTACGTTTAAACCACCACTCCTAAACTTTAATTCGTTTTATCTAAGTATTGTTTTATTGTGCGACAAAATAAAAAAATACGTGTCTAATATTTTTTCATTACTTGCGGACTAATTAGATTTTTAATTTTCATACCCCGTCATCATCCCAATTCTTTGTGTGATCCTGTCTGCGCGACTATGTCATCAGAGAAAATTAATAGAGCAACTTTTTAAAGAAAACATTGCTTACCTATACATTTTCTTATTGTACGTAGTCATAACAGAACAACCGACCAGCCTCTCTGCCATAGCCTTCTTCCAGCCTGATCCCTCTGATTGTACAGTCTCTTTAATGTATGACAGCACTGTTTGGGTCCGAATTACTTTGTGCGTAGAGTCCAAGGTCAACATTAAACCTCCTTCGTATTCACACACTGCTGTCACGTAACTGAAAAACAAAAATTATTTATGACCCTTATTATGAGCAGTCACCGGTGATCCCTCTACACTAACTACATTATAGACCTTATTTCCAATATTTAGAGACTACTTACATATGAACAAATTTAGGGGATGATTTTCAAAAATTTTCAATGGGTTAAAACATGTTGATGATTATATGGCAAGTTTCAATATGATATGGGGGAACCCTACAAGGTAATACATTGACTCCACGATTGGCGAAGAGTCTCATTGACCTGCCATAGTGCTACGTGTCTCAAGTTGGACTTCAGCATTGGAAAAGGAAATGAATGAAAGCTAAAGTATTTTTCCGATTAAAATTATCATGTAGTTAGAAACTTAGCCAAAGCCAACAAAAGCATTGTTCTATGCGAGTTGGAAAAAAAACACTACGAGTGTCACTTACTATTAATCTTTACATCATTACGTCCTACTACTATACAGGACTTAATAAACTTACTATACTGCAGCTGTAGCTAAATGCCTTTTAGCGCTTGTCTACATGTAGAATACAAAACCAAATTATATGGAATTGACGTAAATTTTGACACTTGCCAGTGTCATCTCCATACATTTAGTTTTCTAGTCTTTCTGTAGACAAGCGCAAGTGGCGTTTGGCTAAAGGCACAGGAATTCTCCCGAAAAACTGTGACAGATGACGATCAATAATAAGTTTTATTGCCACAAAACTAAGGAATTAATTGTTTCTTTTATGTAATAATAGTTGTAATCAACCGCTCAAGGCTGATGTTGCATGAATATCATGTAAACAATTGTGAAAATTATTTTAAATGTCAGCGTTTCTGAGTGCATTCCGTTTACACCCTATATTAAAACACAGGTAAACAAATAATATCAACATACCCAGGCCAAATTTCCAATCTATGCTGAGGTATCGGAATACCTGCTCGGTCATTGAAATGTTCTCGACCAATCCTTACTAATTGCAAGTCATTCATAATGTTTCTAAATATCACGTTGTAGATGTGTATCATTTCACTCAGACGACGTGTTCGACGGAATATGATCTGTAATCAAAGGTTTTATTGAGTTTAGAAAATCCTTTATTTTATGAAATAAGACAAAATCCTATTTAGGAAAAAGAAACACTTAGATAAATCTAAGAAGATCAAAATTACAAGAGGTATGTGTATGAGTATGTTTTACATTAATCACTACATAATATTAAACAAAGTCGTTATCCGCCGTCTGTCTGTCTCTATGTATGCTTAAATTTTTAGAACTACGCAACGGATTTTGGTGCGGTTTTTTTTTAATAGATTGATTCTTAAAAAATGTTTATATGTATAATACATGCATATAGCACCCGTGCTAAGCCGGGGCGCTAGTAAGATCGAAACGAGACCGCGTTCGGCGCTCTGATTGGCCGGTTAGAATGAACCAACCAATCAGAAGCGCGGTCTTGTTTCGATTCCTTTAAATGTAAAACAAACTCGTTCTAAGCCCCCCAGGCACAAGTCAATTCGTTAGGTAAGTATATTAACTCGTCGAGTACCGTCATTATAGACACAATTATAGAACAATAGGTTGCGGTCACCGGTGACCGCTTGGTGTTTGACAGTTTAAAACATTTTCATACTTTATACATTTGTATTCTTAATACATATATGAAGTACTATGTTATACTTACAGTAATCCTAACTTTGCTGCTGTCATAAGGATTAGTGGATATCAAGTTGAGAGCTTCTTCAGGCAGTTTATGTGGCACATACAAAGTTGTACCATCAAATGTCTTGTTTGGGAAGTACCGATGATGCTCTGTAATAAAGTGCATACATTAATTAACATTACGCTTTTCCATCATCGAAAGAAAATTTTATTGGAGTATTGTTTTCATTTGAGAAATAACATCTTAGAAATAACTATTCTTAAATGACCTGGTGATAATAAGAAATCTACATAACAGTCAAAACTAAACCCATTCAACAACAAAATAAAGTTTAATTTCGTAAAAAATCAATAAAACTTACCACCAAGAAGTTTGTAGCGCAAATTCATAAAGTCCTGTTCTGGGTCGAACCTGACTTCATATTCATACACACTGTTTTCTTCAAATTGCAAATAAATGTAATTGGCGGTCACATCAACTGGCATGCCAGTCACACCTTTCTTCACAACCGGTGGGGTTTCTTTTACTTCGCGCTGTAAAGAAGCACATATTCATGTTACAATTGGGATGATCATCACAGGGTATGAAAATTAAAAATCTAAAAGTTAGTTAATGAAAAAATATTAGACACGTATTTTTTTATTTTGTCCTATAATAAAACAATACTTAGATAAAACGAATCAAAGTTTAGGAGTGGGGGCTAAAACGTCATTTCTACGTATAAAATGTACATAAAGGTGACGTCACGCCAAATTACAAATCAATAAATCGTCGAAAGCATTTTCGTAAGAAAATAAAAAATACGTGTCTAATGATTTAAAATAATCTACCAGACGGACATTAAAATAAAATTTAGGCATCTACACAAGCTAGCTACTACCGCGAGGTTTTAACTGCTCTACTCGTTTCCTATTGATTGTAGCGTGATGCTTTATAACCTTCTTTCTATCCAACACAAAAAGAACTGACTGCATGGTTGGCGTGGTAGATAGGCAACTGGCTACCGCACAACTTGTAGTGGATTCACTCCCGCACGGAGCAACTCTTTGTATTTGTATGATTGTAAACGCACCCACGACACAGTATATAGAAAATCGTAGTCTGAGCAATGATTTATTTAAAAACAAAAATGAAATCAGACTAGTAATTCCTGATCTTAAGGCGTTAAAACAGACATATAATAGTAATATACTAATAGTATGAAATAATAGTACGTATAAGATTAGATCATTGCAGTAATACTGTGATTGCCAAGTCAATTTACTCAAAAACTACTCTTAAGCTGAGACTGAATAAATTAATAGCTGACTTGGCCTACTAAGTCGGCTATTAGGTACTGGAATACTTATATACCTATACATAAGTATTACATAGATCTTACAACGTTTTAAGGCATAGAAATTGAGTTGCGAGATGTTTTTATAATAACTACCGTGAAACATACTAAATTAACTAAAAATCACGGGTTACTCACGTTAAAATACTGAGAAGAACTCTACTAGTTACTACTACGACATGACGCTGCGCGACATCTCCGCGACCGTGCACGCTGCTCATGAAAAAGAGCCCCTCTGTGGCTCGAAACTAGTAGAGCTTTCCTCAGTATTTTCACGAGAGTAACTCGCGGCTTTTAGTCAACCGAGTTGCGAGACTTGGTTTTTTGTGCAAATAATGTTTTCTAAACAATATCCAATCTGGGCTTCACTTGAAAACTCTTTACAAAGTATCCTACTAACGAAATAATTACAGAGACCTTAATACGAGTTTCTTTTTCGCTTAAAATAATCGAAACGAGACGGCGTTCTGCGTTCGGCGCTGTGATTGGCCGGCTCTAATGAACCAACCAATCAGAGCGCAGAACGCCGTCTCGTTTCGATTATTTTAAACGAAAAAGAAACTCGTACTAAGGCCTCAGAACTATACTTACAAAAACTTTTTTCGAACGAGTATTACTATCAGGTGGTTTTGTAATCGATGTCTTAGACATTTGTTCCGTGATCTGTGATACTTGAGGCCTGGAGCTGTCACCGGATGGACCGGCAACACTGGCAGCGCTAGCAGCCTTCGCAGCTTGTCTGAGGTGAAAAAAATCATAATTTTAGGCTTTGACTGCCAATAGAAAACTGTTAAAGGTTATCCTAGTAGGTACAAGTAATGTATAAAACTGACTGCACGGTTGGCGCAGTGCTTGGATAACTGGCTGTTGTGCAACGTGTCGCGAGTTCCAATCCCGCGCCACCAAAAAAGTGATAATGGCATTTTCTGAGTACAATGACCATTATTAGCCCGGAATCAGGAAGTTCGGCGGTGTTTTCACCCCCATGCCTCGGAAAGCACGTAAAGCCACTGGTCCTGCGTCTGATCTCTCTCCATAGAGTGCACTTGTGTTTGTGCACACACCTGTGCACTATAATATCTTCTGTATAGTGGGCTAGTCTAGTTAGACATGCCACCATGATCGTATATGATCCGGAGATTTATAAATGTATAAAAGAAACTTTCCTTGATGAGTTGGGAGCACGAAGTCATCATACCCTGCTTACTACTCAAGTGTTGTACTATCTACATGTTATTGTGTGCATACTTACAGAGACTGTAACAGCTTGAGTCCTCTGCCTACGCCTTTTGCCAGTGATGGACTAATGTCACTAGCCGGAACAAATTGTGGACCTGTAAAAAGATACAATACCTTTTACTAGTCCGTCGCCATAGCTGTATATCTTAGGCCTCATTTAATATGAGCAATGTACGACTGACGACGGACGCACCGCGTCACCGTTAACGAGGCGTCAGGGTATTGACAGCCACTAAATCATTTACAAACTAAATAAGTTAACTAAGTACCATTCGAAAAAGCTAAGCTATCATGGTGCCATACCATGGTAAGTACTAAGTACGTTATCCTTACATTAATTAATAAAATAATTATTGCTATAATACTGGCTAAGCCTTATGCGTTACTAGATCAAAACTCCATTTGTATGTGCATAAAAATTTGTTCAGAATCCCCCACAATCCTCAAATGCCTAACTCCCAAAAGGCCAGCAAAGCACTTGTGACGCCTAGTGTTTCGAGTGTCCATGGCGTCGATTGCGTACAATCAGGCGATTCGTCTGCTCGTTTACCGGTTTATTCCTAAAAAAAGATAACTTACCTCCAGGTTTTGCATTAGCCTTAGCAAGTAACATAGCTGCAATCTTGCCCCTACCACCAATTGAGGTCCCCGTAGACATTGAAGTGGATGATAGGGCCTATAACATTTTATGAAATTCATTAAATAATTAAACATACACTCTTTAGATTTATTAGATTAAATTAGATTTTTATAGGCCATGTACACAATACATTGCCAACTTGTCTTTAATATTTCTGTGTTATAAAAAAGTAAAAATATATAGAAGTAGATTAGCTCTAGTGAGAACAACACATGAAACTTTATATGATTGTAAATGTAAACAATGGTAAATGATTGTGAAATAAACTGAAATATAACTTAATTATATTTAACAACAATAATTAAGTTATAAATCAATTAAAACTTCCTCATTTTAAATAAAAATCTCAGTAGTAGCACAGAACCTCGAAATGTATCCGGTATATGGTAATAGGCTCACCCCCTATTTCATGGGACTCGTAACATAAATAGTGAAAAGTGGGTGTTACTTCTGTGTGCACCTCTGCCTACCCCATAGGGTATTAAAGGCGTGATGTTATGTTATGTTCAATTAAACCTACAATGTATTATCTGTATGAAGTAAAACCTACAAATTGATACTTACAGTAGGTGCAAGGCTTGAAGCAGACTCGCCAACTACACTCTGAGCTGTACTAGGCCCCGGAGTGCTAGTAGGAGCATCATCGGATGGTGAGGTGGCTTGAGACTTCTTCAGAGCCTGTAGCAAGGCCAGGCCTCGCCCACGGCCCCTCATTTGATCCGACATGTTGAACTGCAAACTAGAGCAAAGACGGCTATATTGCAACTGTAAAAATGATGTTACATTATAAGAAAACTCTATTGCTTAAAATCATAATGTTGAAATTGTAATTACAGAAGTCAAAGCATAGGGTAACCTTTCTACTACATACTGGACAAGATTTTATCACTTTATTAATACAATGTTGCATTACTGCGCACTTGTAATAAATTATGAATGTCAGCATTTTAACGAAACATGAGTAGGTAGGTACATTTCTAGTGATTTGCAACTAAATTATGTTATGTAGCACTGAACTGGATTTAAACTACCATTCAGGGCAAAATAGCCTATTTATTTACTAAAGAATTAGTCATAATACTAAGACAGTATGTGGGAGTGACTGCATGACTGGATGCAAAGAGAAGAAGGATTGAAATCAGTGGCATGCTATGGAAAACGCCAATAAACATAGTAGTGGACGGAAACGGGTTGAAGATGGAGATAAAGTCATTAGATAAAAAGTCATTCATCAAAAAAGTTAGAATTACAACCGTGTCTCCTAATATCCGAGAAATCTATTATCAATGTTAGGCAAATCGCTAACGAATGAGCGGGAAATGTGGTGAAAGTCGAGACATGTCCGATAACTGACTAAAACTTTTGATACCTGGAGTTTTGATACTACGACAAAGTCAATTAAACAACATCAGCTCGAAATTCCACTAATAATTATTTAAACACGAAAATACAATACCACGCAAATACCTACTACTCTATAACTGAGTACCTATTGATAAATCAATAAAATAAAAGGATTTATTGACTAAAGGAAGTAAAGGAACGGAAATAAATATAGATTTTAGACACATAATGTTCAAATGTTTTACAAAATAGTAAAATTTACAATGAAAGCATACCTAAACAAGTTCTTGGCTGAAGACAACAAATAGGTGTAACAATTTAACTGAAATGAAACTTACTTAAAATTACCCACTAATAAAAGAATAGAATAAGATATCACCTTATTACTTATTTTTCTTACTGCCTTCTTAATAATAATTTGTTAAAAACTTCCAAGAAACGCTTTCACAAACTACCCATTCAGCATGCAGAATCTAGCAGAATACTTTTTTTTATTTCTACAATGTCAAAGATAAAATAATATCCATCCACAGATGTTCAAAACAACTATATTCAAAAATATCACAGACTATAAATAAACAAATATTATAGGTATTGGACACATTATAAACAATACTGTGGCAAACAAAATAATTCACGATTTCATAAGTTTCTAGAATAGAATCTAAATAAAAAATAAGACGAAATTAAATTACTTTTTCAGTTGTTTTATGTAGTTTCTCACCCATAAAGACGTCTATTTTATAATTTAGTCTCATTAAGTTACTTATTAAGAGTATGGCGCATACTGACTGTGTTTTGTCGACCCATAGAATAAAAAAAATCGTACCCATTCAGCAGGACTGGACACATCACAAAAAAACTGATGATGAGATGAAGAAGTGGCTAAATAAGACAAATAAAAGTCACAGACATACAAGGAGGAGCAGACTAAAACTTAGCTATGTGAAAAATAGCTTAAACGAAGCCAGACTAAGGTCGGCATTAGAAATAAATGAAATTATTAGGTACCTACATAAAAATTAGCGTATTTTTGAAATAAATAGTCAATACTTATGAATATTGAATAAATATCCATTTTTAACAATTTTTATGTCTAAGTAAAATGTATGGGTATGCTTTGACAAAATTCCGAAAGTAATTATTTAGGAACTGTTTAAAATATAGTTTCAAAAATTATTTAATACATCCGTATGTATTAAATAATTTTAAAATCTTCATATAAAACATGTATCAAATATTGCTTATTTACCTCTAAATTAAACACGTTAGAGGTAATAATGGGGTTGGCCGATCAAAGCTCAGCACAGATGGCGCCAGCATAGCTAGTTCTTTTGTATTGGCGGCCATTGTTCTGTCACATTTTGTTTACAAACTTACGAACTGTTCATTCGCCCTTTTGTGACTTGAAGACGCTCGTGCAATTGTGATTTTGTGGTTTACTATCGAAACGTCATGTATTCTAACTGGCGGATTAAGGAACTGAATGATGAGCTCCGAAAGCGTGGTGTATCCTTACGTGGAAAGAAAGCAGATCTTGTAGAAAGGTACCTATATATATTGATACCAATATCCTTTAAAAGCAAACAGGTCCTGCACATTAAAACTACTAATTTTCAGCTAGGCTAAATATCAACCAAACTCCAAACATCATTAACAAAATTTATCCACGTCACTATTATATTAGAGACCTCAGTCGTACTGACACAAAATATTTTGCTCAGTTCAAAATCCGTAGTGTTTCTCCTGAGTTTAATTAATAACATGAGAAATTGGTCCTCTACTGATAAACAAATTACTTGACTCCAACGGTATTTTAAATGATTAGCCATAGGTACAAGTGTGCTTAGAACTAAAGAAAACTTTGTTGATGTTTCTAATCCAGTATAATAATGCACTGTCTCATGATCTGCAAGTAACAGCTGAGTTGAGAATAGTCTTAATATGTTTGTTATCTGACTGCCACAAGTGTTTTGATTTAAACATAAGATAATGGTGATTCGTCACATTCATTTTCAACGACAAGCTCTGATACATTGCAATCAGTCATGTGCATATCGTTATCTTCTTATGTGGCACTATGTCCTCACAGTATTGAGAAGTAGAAGGCATTTCAAAAAGCTTTTTCTTTTTAAGGTTATGGGCTTTTAATCTATAGTATCTTGTCTTGCCTTTGCCTTCTCCGAAACTGGTTGTGTGTTCCATGCAAAGACAGATGGTACAGCACTTTTCTTGAGATATTTGTGCTGGTGTTCAACTCCTGTAACAAAAAATTAGGAATTTTATTAATGTCTGAATACAGTACTAATTCAACTATCTTATTGTTATCGTAAGATGTGTATATTAATAGTTAGTACAAGAAATTGTTGGCAAGCAGGTTACCTGTGTATTTGCTGATTTTTTCGTAATCACTTTCCACAAAATGTTTCCGACATAACCTCGAATCATTTGTTGGAACTAAATCTTCACGGCGAATGGCTTTCAACCAAAGCCGACGAATTTTCTTATCTTTTGGGATACGATGGACTTCTATTTCCGAGCATTTCAATACGATACAACGAGTCATTTTGATAGAACAAATATTTTTCTTATTTTTAACAAGAGAGATGCAATGTTTTGGGCTCTAGCTATAACAGCGCCACTTTGACAGTTGCCAGCCCCATTACTAGTATTTGTATTCATAGTAGTAATTATTTAAGGCACTAAGGCTTAGAATATTAGATAATAGTCATCTCCATCCCTTCAATACCACTGACCACTTTTAAGACAAGTTCTCACTTTGTCCTATCCGAGCGAGCGGAGCGAGCGCTATGTTTAATTTATTTGTACATTCCTAAACATTTCAGGTATATGATGATATTCTTTGATGATAATAGGCAATTGTGATAAAATTGATACAGAGTACGAGTAGGTATACAATCGTGGTACATATTACAAGGATAACTACTATTATTGTAGAAACGAGTCTGTAAGATTATTTAATTTTGTAGTAACTATTACTCAATATGAAAACAATATATTTATTAGTTTAACCATTCGAAATTCTAAATCCGTCCTGCTTACTGTGATAAAATGAACCGTACATGTAAACTACGCCTTATCGGGACATTGACATACCAAAAAAGTCAACTGAAACTGTCAGACGTCAAATCAAATTGATAACGTCACATACGTCACTGAATCACTGTCTGACTGTCGATGTCAATGTCACAACAAACATTGCACGAGTTACGTTTTTAGCAATTATTTGCTATGTTTCGTCGTTTTTAAAATAATAAAGGCGCTCTAAATTCGTAGACTACATCATACTAATCATACAATCATGTTGAGAAGTTTCATTCGCATTAATAGAGCTGGTAGTCAATGCTCAAGATTATGCGCAGCGACTACGCTAAGGTAAAAAAATTGCCTATTATGAAGTAGTTTGACACGCAGCAAAAAATTTAACAAATATTTGTACATATTCACCAGCATTGTCGGCTTCCATATGGATAAACATTCAATGGAATACCTTATTTTCATTCAATATGAGATAGGTACCTATCTAAACAGTCGTATATTTTCTTTTCATCTATAAGAAAACTTACTCACCCTTGTGTATACTTTCCTTCCTAATCTACAGGTACACAAATTTAAAGTTAAACCATAATTTGAATTTCAGCCTAAATAGCATCAAGCACTTTAGCGGAATATCCCAAGGGATCCAGAGAAATGTCAACAAAAAGGTTCCTTTACTCAACAAATGTGTCTGTCGGACCATGTTCATTCAGACACAGGATACTCCCAATCCAAATAGCTTGAAGTTCTTACCTGGCGTTAAAGTGTTGGAATCTGGACAAACTATGGATTTTCCTAACATCGGTGAAGCTCAATGTAGTCCTTTAGGTAAGTTGGTCAATAATTTTTTATAATAGATGTTATTTGTATAAAAAAGCACGTCTAAAGTCACCAGATACCATTAAGGCTATCGAAAAGCTAAATACGTACTGTATTTTGGTTTCTTTTTTAAAAAATGGAATAAAAAAGTATCATTAAATATAGTATCTACATTTTTGTGAAATAATTAAATTCTAATACTGTATTTATCAGTTTACCTGAAAACAAAAAACAAAAAGAACTGAAAGCCTGAGGCACTTGTTTATACCCAGTGATTAGTACCCATATTGGTGATTATATTAAAAAGGGCCAAATTAAAAGTAAACCTTTAACCAACAACCATGCATGAAAAGATTGATGACTGTTGATGAAGCGAATGAGGTATGTAGGAATCATAGTAATTGGCGTTACAAAGTCTCTGCCTACTCCCATGGGAGACAGGCGTGAAGTTATGTATGTATGAATGATGTATGACTAGTAATAACAAATGCATTAAATTATTTCAGCAAAAATGATTTTCCGCATCGACGGAGTGAAATCAGTGTTTTTCGGTCCTGAATTCATAACTGTAACAAAGCAAGATGATGATGTCGACTGGAGGGTTATGAAACCAGATATTTTTGCAACTATTATGGACTTCTTTGCCAGCGGTTTACCTGTAATAATCGATGCTAAACCTTCAGGAGATACACGTAAGGATTTTCAACAACTACATTATACAAACTGATTTATGTTTTATTACCTTGATTTTTTGCACAGAAAATGAGCAGGACCTTCAGTTATGCTTGGCATTAATATGTTACTATTACAATCATTTTGATGTGACAACGTCTTAAATTAGGTTGCGGCTGGGAGTCACTTATGAAAAAGTGTAACGCTCGGTAACGTTACGATGAGTCACAGAACGAGAGAGGGGCCCGCCGAATGCCTTGCGTCTCTCTCCCACTCAACTATGATCGGTCTGCCGCGCGCGCAGCACTAGTTCATTCAATTCCTTGTTCCTATTGTGCAATTTAATTATATTCATATCAATAAATATTCTACCGAGAAAAAGACGTTGTCACGTAAAATCTTCGCCCGTAAAAACGACTTTACAGGTAACCATTTTTTTTTATCTTTATATTTAGCACAGACTCTTGGCAAGAGTCAGCAGAAATAAATTAAATATTTAATCACTTGATATTAATCCCCAAAATTTGTTCATATAAAAGTAAAGTAGTCTCTAAACATCAGAAGTAAAGTCTATAAAGTAGTCATTGGAGAGGGGTCAACGGTGACCACTTGAGGATTGATCAGTTAAATTTCTACATTCTTTAATAAAAAATTAATTATATCGACTGTTCCATACAATCAATTATTAAAAAATAATCACACTTTCATTAATTGATTTTATGATCCACTTAATTCTAGTACTTTTCCAGCAATTTTTTTAGAAATCGGTATACTGTTTGACGCCCGAAAAACGTGACGTCACTCTTGTGATTCGATTCACTATTTGATCGTATACTAAATTCATAGAAAACTGTTGTTTTTGAAATTTCGAAAAAGTATTGAATTTAACTAGTTGGCAATACCCAATTCGTGTGACTTTTCAAGTTGCATTATTTATAATTGTGTTCACTGTTTTCATTAGTCAAACCTTACTATAATACGGGTCTTCGAAGCTCGAGCTACTATTTATTTTGAGAAGCAGAAAGTTTTAAGGTATCTTGAGCTATAGATCTAGGTATATAATTAACAACTAATTTGTTGCACAATAAAATAAAATAATTTTAATGTTCCAGAAATAAATGAAGATGATGATGAGACAGTACAAATGATAAAGGAACTCTTAGATACCCGTATCAGGCCTACAGTTCAGGAAGATGGTGGTGATGTCCTATTTGTGGACTTTAAAGATGGTATACTAAGGCTCAAAATGCAAGGTTCCTGTTCTTCATGTCCCAGCTCGATTGTTACTCTGAAAAATGGAGTGAGTATTTTGTTTATTTTTCTTGTACTAGTTTTTTGGTGCAGCTGTCAAGTTTCATCAATGTATTTTAGACTTTGTTACAAAACGGTTAAGTTGAAAATCAGATTCCTAGTTTGGGTAATTTAATCTGTGACGGCCTAAAATATATACATATTATGTGTAATGACATTATTAGGCATTTCAAAATAAGTTAATTGTTAAAAATTCGGGAAGCATTTAAATAGGTATGTATATATTTTTTTATATGTGTGTGTTTACAAACACACAATTTCACATACACATGACACCCATATCCGGAACAACTATCTGTGGATAACACAAAGAGTTGTTCCGTGCGGGAATCGGACCCGCGACATGTTGCTTGGCAGCCAGTTACCCAGCCCCCGCGCCAACCGTGCAGACAAGTTGAAAATCAGCTTCCTAGTTGAGGCCAAATTAAAAAATACATATTATGTGCAATTAAATTATTCAGCATTTAAAATTAAATTAATTGTTACAATTTCTGTAAGCATTCAAATAGGTATGTATTACATCTGATGTTCCTTTTTTATCTTGAGTTACTCATACAATTTTACTGCCTCGTTCGCCGAGTGGTCACAAGTGCAGCTGCCGGGCAAGGGGTCTCGGGTTCGATTCCCGGGTCGGGCAAAGTATTAAGGGCTTTTAAAAAAATCTCATTAGAAGCACGAAGTCTGGAATTGTGCCCGGTATATGGCAATAGGCTCACCCCTATTACATGGGACTCATAACATAAATAGTGAAAAGTGGGTGTTACATAATACAGTGGCATAATGTGCACCTCTGCCTACCCCTTCGGGGATAAGAGGCGTGATGTTATGTTTTGTTGTCAAACAATTTTAGACAAAAACAACTAGTAATTAGGTAATACTTACTTTTGAACTACTTTTTTTATTAAAGGTACAAAACATGATGCAGTTCTACATCCCAGAAGTCGTAGCTGTTGAACAAATTGATGATGAAGGCCAAAAATTAAGCGAAAAAGTGTTCAAAGAATTTGAACAATTGAAAACCAAAGAAAAGGCAGACCCTTGAATGAATCTACACGTTAATACATATTTATAAGTAGAAATATAATATTATGTATATACAGTCTTATGTTGAATATAGAAAAATAAATTGTATGTTGAAATTTTATTTTTTGCTTTTTTTTGTAGTCTCCCAATATTTATAGTGGTGGTGTACCCAATAAGCTCTCTATGATATTACATAATTTGATTATGTTATAATATTCAATCAACCGTTGAACTAATTTCAGAAAATATTAACTTAATAAAAGTATTTAAGTTTGGTAGTGACTTGGTTTCGCATATCTCGTCTTGGCTCTTCACTCCCGTGCCCCCAGATGAACTAATAAATCCTGGGTTCTATCTAGTATTAGACATGGTTGTCCCACTGCAGGGCAAAGGCCTCCCTACCCTCGAGGTTCAGCCAACTGGGTTTAAATAATTTAAAAAAAATGTATAAATAGATCAAAAGCTTATTAAAAAAAATTAAAGAGGTAGGAAAAACTAAATACAATTCCATTGCACTTTTATTATTTAAAATGTAGATAAAGTTTTTTTTTGTTTATCATTATTTTATTTGAGTATCTTAGGCTGCTTTCCAACGCTGTTGATATATCAAATTATTATCATTTAAGTATGATTTTAATACAATTTTTGCTACAAAATAGAGATCGACTATTAATTATTTTTTGTTGGAAAACCGTCTCTATACTTACTTAATACATGAAAATATAAATACAAGTAATTATCCTAATTACAACATATATTAGTAGTTGTCTTTAAAATAAAGGTATTAAGAGGCTCTTACCAAAACTAAAACTTAAAATTGACATCTTATATTTAACAATTGCAAAACCAATAGAAGAAATCAATTATTTTTATGCATTTTAAATAGATGAAGGACTTATTATGCTAGACAATGGCAGTGTTCCATTTCATATTTGAAACTAAATTTAGTTTAACTATAATTAAGGTTTTATAATACAGGTACAATCAAAAACAGAATGTGAAAACTATATTTAATGACGAATAAGAATTTACAAAAATGTTGCGACTTACATTAATCAAACTACAATATTGTTATCTTCTAAATAAGTGTGAAAGTTGAAGGATTGACATCTGTATTTGACTGTACCAAATTAATACCTAAAAACACGTTTTATGGATTTATAGCCAAGTTATATTCCTGCATTGGTAGGTAGGTATCATAAAATCCAGATCAGAAATATGAAGTAGAAAGTGGTAGAAACTTAGATACCTAATCTTAAAATAAAATAGGTATTCTTAAAATTTTCAATCATTATCGAAATGAAATTCAATAATCCACATAATAATATGTTGGTATGGCAATTCAAGGTTGTTGCCACGATAGACGACGAATTTGGCTAAGAATAAAATGAATGGGCAGATAAACTATGTATATTTTGCTAAAGTCGCCTCAAGTCCATTAATTTGAGTTTATGCAGGAAAAGGAAAATCGTAGAAGAAATATTTAAATCACACACATTTCTCGTATTCCTAAATTTCCTAATAACTAGGTTTAGAATACGATCGTTCATAAAAATGATAACTCTATAATTAAGCTGTATGCATTATGGTGCCAAAAAATAGGAACCGTCTACCACTTTGATATCAATGTGGATCTAAGTAAATTGTTCCATAAAGCAACTATGTAGGTATATGCATTAAATTGCGCACTTAAGCAGGCTGAGTGTATGATATAAAGTCTTGAATTTAAGACCTTATAATAAGTGTTATAGGTATGATATTTCAGTGTAGGTATCAAGGATTACATCTGCACACACAGCAAGAAGGGAATAAGAACCAATCCATGAATATGCCTGCACAATCGTCGTTTGGATCATACGCGAGGAGCCTGTGCCATTTGTACTTTTGCTCGCATCCGCAGTCACGTGTACATCTTGCTGTTGTTGTTTTACTGGAAAAGTAAACAGAAAACATTAATTAAAAAGACGTTCATCGAGACAACATCCTGGTTGCTTCGTTTTCAATTCAGGATCATCATGCTTACTCTACATCGTTCATGCAATCCAAAAAATCAAACTTTCCCCCCTCGTTTCGTAACGTTTTTCATCAGAAAATGACAGACTGGAGGTGCTACCTCCACAATTCGATAACGTTCCCGCGGCATATGTACCCGTGTAGACCGTTTATGAAGAATCGCTAAGTTTTGGACTTTTCCAGGAAAACTTGATAACTGTTGTGCTAAATAGTTGCCAGTTGCGGCAAACCAATTTAAAATTCTTGTCACTTGGCTTGGTTCCAATGTAAGTGTTGATAGCAAAACACTTTAGCATTAACAAACGAATTATTAAGTTCAGTTTACGTAAGCAAACTGCATTTGGATGCATCACAGCTTACCTGCACGTTTCCTGATGTATCGCTTGTTCAAAATGCATAGTGTTGACGATTGCACGCAACTTTCTCGCAGAGTTTAACGCCCAATATGGCGTCATTATCTCTGTCTTGCTCTCGCAGGCGTCCACTCTGAAATCAGAGATAATATTTGTTTTATTTAAGTGCTTACGAAACTGTTTCGACCACAGTCCAAAATGTAATGTGCAAAAATGGTTACTTGTTTCAATGCAGATGTATTCTGATTACAAGCTTCTATTGTTTGTCACAATGGAAAGGAGAGTAACAAAGATTGGGCCTCCGGTAACCTCACTCACACGACGAAACACAACGTAAGCGTTGTTTCACGTCGGTTTTCTGTGAGGCCATAGTATCGTTCCGGTCGAGCCAGCCCATGCGTACCGAAGCATGGCTCTCCCACATTTAACGAAGCAGAAGTAGGAACGAGGTGGTTTTCAGTCAGTAAGAGTTTGGTACTCCTCGCCTCAACCAAGGCAGGAGGAGTCATTGCATGATTTTCTCTTACTCATACACCCAAATGGCGTCTGAAATGTCAAAGAAAAACTGACCTGCCAGTGTTATTGACGGATTGCGCATCAGGTAGTCGTGTATTGGTAGCTTGTCGAGCATGTCTGAAGTAAGAGTCACCAGTAGCATCATGCATATCAGGTACGCCAGGCGCCCGTCTCACCCGGTTTCCAGCCGGTGTCGTAAACGAACCGTACATCCGCTTTATTAAAGCTTTATTCTCGTCTATGAAGTTCTCGATTTTATCTCTGTAACATAAAAGTAGTAGGTAAGTACTTAAATTGATTAATAAATCAGGATGAATTTCACTTAACAGTCTCATTATTATGTTAGCCTGCCGTTTAACGAAACCTATTTCAAAATGTGAGTAGGTATATTATTTTCTACACTTGTTCAGAATAATGAATTTACAGAAAATATAATTGAAAAGTTGAGCAGTACCTATTAGTAAAAAACAAACATCTGCGAGTTTGTTCACCACGGGTACAAGTACTTGGCCAGGACATAAGGACGCTACCGTGCTCCCATATGTAATATTTTGAAAACCATTGAATAAAAATTTTGTTTTTAGATCATCAGCTCTTCACCACCATCCACTGTATTAATGTTAAGTTTAGAACTTTAGAACTTTACATTTATACATGAGTAATACGAGTAGACACACAATACCTACATATAAATATAATTATGATACTTACAATGGATAGGTGTTACCAGCTGTTGGACAATACAACTGGAAGTTACGCTTCACGCACGGAACTCCTCGGATGATCTGACCTTGGAGCTCGTAGCCCAACGCTAACGACAGCGCAGTCCATAGTATCTGGAATTAATTTATATAACACTAATTAAATAATTAAACACAGCATGGAGCAAAAACAATTAAAACGTAAGTTTATTTTATAAAAAAAAATAACTGGCGCGTTGTGGATCATGTCTAAATGTCTTTGATCTACGTATCGAAGTAGGTATTTATTGCAGAGATTACCTACTTACTAAAAATACTTAATAAAAATTATGACTGATGAATAGGCTACAAGTCGCGTCACAACCCATCACTGAAGGAAATTCTATTGACGAAAATGTAGGTGTAGAAAAACACTCTTAGTGATCAAAAAGTATACCTACTTTTTTCATCAAAGGATATCTTAACTAGGTACCTACCTACAATTTTTTTTTTAATGGGGGAAAGTCATTGTATGGCTGCTCCCGCCTGGGTGAAGCGGGAGGGAGTGGCAGACTCTTACTGACTAAAAACCACCCCGTTCCTTCTCCTGCACGCACGTACAATAGGTATGCTTTGTCATAATTATAATTTTATTAACATCATAAAATATTTTATGTATAATATTCAAACTTTGCCATTAGCTCTACCACAAATTTTCACATCACAATCAAAATAATAAAAAACAACTTACACCAAAAATATTATAAGAAAGAGGTTTTCCCATAATTTATAATTACCTAAACATAGTGCATTTTACTCGAAACAGACAAAATTTTATTCTAAAACTTCTTTCTATAAATAAAACAAGATATCTAATGAATTAATACCTAGATATACATACAAGTCATAAGTTTTGAAAATATAATTCGTGAACATCTTTAAATCAATGACACTTTCACATACTTACATAGTTACCTCTAGATATAATGAAATTCGATAACTACGTAATGTATTTTGCGGAAAAAAATAAACATGGGTTGTTAATAGATAAGCACAACATTTATAAGTTTTAGTACTATCCTACCTATCACAGTATCACTATCAACAATAATCCATTACAGTCCACTATGGTCCTCCAAATAAGAGGGTTTACAATTTACTGATACGATTCCTATAAGTAACACATAAAAAAGGTTTTATTCTAATTAAAAAATATTAATACACACCTAAAAACACAAAAAAATGGGAATACCCTACCTTAGAACAGACTAAACAAATAAAAATGAAACTCACGCTCAAGCAGAACAAATCCATGTCCGGTACCAGATTAGCGTTTTAATTAATACGTCCTGCTACTGCAGAGTGTACTAATTAACTGAACGGATTCCAAATAAAAACAATAAGCAGAAAAAAATCACGTTCAACTATAGTCGACTTTACCACACTGGATCATGTTCTCAAGATCCGTCCGGTGATACTTCTACGATAAAAAGTTAGCGTTTTCCGCCACTTCGAATTTAATTTTAAAGAAATATAAACCTTAAGTCCTTACAAACTTTAAAAAAAATATTTAATTTTGCAATTCTCTATTGTTATTCTAGTTTTTGCATAAAATGTGACTGACATAAAATACTCATTGTGATTCAAAATAGCAAGCGACACAAAACACGTACCTACCCGCTCAGAATATTGAATTTCTCGTGCAAGAATATACTACTTTATCATATTTAAATAATAAAAAAATGTTGTATGCATATTTATTGCAGTGATTTATAGCGAATTTAGATTGCGCAATATAAATGGGAAACTGGATCGTGCCATTAATTTAGCAAGCGCTCGTTATTTAGCAATTCTAAAGTTATCCAGCATATTTTAGACGCAACTATGTCAATAACCTTGCATGGAATGAAATAAATTTACATACTTTACAAGCAAAAAATAGAAGAGAATCGCGGCGCCCATGTAATGGCGGTGGCGCCCCAAGTTTCCAAATGATTAATAGACTTTATAGTTCATTTTAAACAGCTGTAAACTGATTCATTACCAATTGTTAGGCACGTATGCCACCACTTAAACCGCGAAGGTTTACGATTTTACGAAAAATACTTTATAGACTTGTTTTATTGTAAGATATATTCCCAGATGTATCATTTAAATTTTAATGTCTTTACGACCGCACAAAGGTCAATATAGAGTAATCCAAAAAACCGCTAATTAATTTCTGCAATGTACCTACACGTGTTACTTAATAAATATCGTAAGATGTATTGGATGATGTTTCACGTCGTGTAAGTCAGTAAGTTATTAGTGCAGTATTAATTTAAAATTAAAATACATAGTTTATTCTCGGTAGCAAATAGGTACGGGTAATCGATTTGTCATGTTACATGGCATTTGATTTATAGACATTGAGAGCATTTTTTTCTTCTAAGTATTGTGAACTGTGAAGCTGATTTTTAGTCTGTTGTATTCAGGTTTTATTCGAACTGGCGTCATTCAAATAATGGTTGTTTTTTTTTTGAATTACATAAACCAGTCTAAATTAAAAAAGGAACATCAAAATTCCGCCATATTAAGTAGGTAGGTGCAAAATTAAGTCTTATTTTCATTCATACGAGTTAAATGTGTTGGAACAAAACGTTTCAATTGTTTAAGTTTTTTGCTTCAATTTTGGCGCCATCTGACACCTGCAAGATTATCCCTTGCAAGAATTCATGTCACGTTTGTTTTTCTTAATTTATTGATATTAGATAATCTGTGGTCTGTTTTGGTTTGCACATAATCTGCATATAAATTTTATTAAAACAACTTCCTATTTAATCAGCAATTAAGCGTTTAGTTAGTTCGTTATTAGCTACTAATCAATAAAGTTGTAATAAATTATTATTTATTTCTTTATTTTTTTAATTAACTAGGCAATAAGCTTTGGTAAATAATAATAAATTGGTATGTTTCATAACTATGGATATGTAAAAGAAGGTCGTTTATCTAACCACATGGTCGGAGATACTTAATTAACGTAAAATTACATTCCTAATTAACTTTTTACGCTTATAAGCAATTGGTAAATGAATACATGCTCATTTGAATGGTATATTCCCTTAATTACGAAGTAACACATTATTTTAATGCGACACTTTACATTTAAGTGGACATTTTGAATGCACACGGCGAATCGTTCGCCATATTGACAGGAATACAATTGTCTTGCACGTTTCGTTCATTCGATGCACGTTCACCAATGACATTTCGATGTGACTCACGCAGTTTACTTGAAACTCAGAAATTTTATACAATTACATACGTACGTTGTCGTCGGTATGACGAAGGTGTAGCGAGCTTTTGCATTTTGATTCTGGTAGGTACTAAATAATCACCATCGCCAACGCCTACGAAGCGAGTGTCAGTGTCGGTCGTTCACAAATCGCGAGTGGCGCCAAGATAAACTTAATGTGCCGCCAGTATGTACTATTGAGTAATTTTGTTTTGTTGGTACTACTTAGTACTTATGTATCTCGTCTTGTAAATTTTCCATAACAATAGGTACACCAAAGTTATAGATACTGTTAGCAGTTTCCTTGCAAAAATAAGTTGGTTCATCAGAAAATTGTACCGGTATAGGTACCACAAGCCCTTGATATTTTGCGAAGTTCAAAAATATACAAATAGGAAGGAATTTTCTGAGAACATCAATCGCCACATCTCATTAAAAGTATATTCCCCAATTTTGGATAAAAAACGGTCCAACTACGAGCAAAATAAATTGAGTATGCACGTGATTTGCTTGCACGTCGAATTTTTTATCGCGAGATAAGACAATTGTTTTAAGGAAAGGTGAACGCTCTAAGCTTTTAATGGTCGTCAAATAAGGTTGTACATAATTGTGGCGGCAAATTGTGTATCATATAAATCCGTCACGATTTATATTTTATCGCTGCGACAAAGATGCCCACGCCTGTGACTCATGTAGACTTAGATCGAAATATCAGACGCTTCCACTAAGCCTACGCCATCGCAATTTTAATAAGACACGGTATAAATAATGGCATTATCGGAAATATAGTGCGGATTATCGTTTTGTATAGAAGTCTAGGTTTTTATAGTGGACATAACCTCAAAAGTAGAGGCTTATGCGGATATCATTTAGTGCCAATCAGATCATAAATAAAAATGATGACTGTATTATTTATTGTTATCTGCTGACATGGTATCGAACTAAAAGTTTTCAGTAATGGACATAGAAGACGAAAAAAAGGAATAAACATAAAGAATACCGAATAAAGATGAAACCATTGTATTTTTTATAGCATAAGCCGGTAAACGAGCAGGTGGATCACCTGATGGTAAGCAATCGGCGCCGCCCATGGACACCCAAAACACCAAGGCGTTACAAGTGCGTTACCGGCCTTTTGGAAATTGGAAAGTTGAGGATTGTGGAGAATTCAGGGATTCGGGAGACTAGGGAGAGGGGTAACTGGGCCTCCGGTAATCTCACTCACACGACAAAATGTTTCACGTCGGTTTTCTGTGAGGCCGTGGTATCACTCGGGTCCAGCCGGCCCATTGTCTTTTTAGGCATATGGTAATCGCTAATTTTCGTCCTATTTACATTGATTTGCAACTGCAGAAAATGGACAAAAAATTTACAAATTCAACTGCATACACATGAATCAGTTATGAGCATCGTGATTAGTCCATTAGGATCAAAGTGCCGTGTATTTTGTAAAGCATTACTGTACAACACTTCGGGTGTTGACTTTGCACTTGTGACGGTGTTTCTACATGCAATTAGCACCTTTACATTACGTAGCCGCATACTTTGTTTAGTAAACGATATCACAATACCATACAAATACAAACTAAATGTCCGAAGTGTTTGATGAAACATTTTAAGTAATATTTCGAATTATTTGATGAAAGTAAAAGTAAGTACTGAGTATTTATCTAAACCAAGCATGGTGATTGGTGATTAACCGCTTGAATGCATGGATATGAGACTCAATAGAAAATACATTGTGTCTCGCGTAGATCCACGTTTAGATACACGACGGGTAATGTTAATGCCTTCTCTGTGTGAGAAGAGGCCTTTAGTCTGTAGTGGCCACTTATAGGCTGTTGATGACGATTTACTATTTAATGCTCTTAGTAGTGTAAAACGATTTGGAACTGAATTCCTGCGTGCTTTGTGTAGGTTTTTATTCCTAGCCAAATAACAGCAGTTGGGGCCATTCCAGGTCAATATGCTTCTAATCTAAACTACCGATATCAAACTAAGATCTACAACATGTATAGAAGTTAGTAACACTTGCTCATTGAGGTACCTACTTGTCTTGTCTTCTATTTGACCTCTTAATTGGGTATTTTCCATAATCAAAAATAAATTATTTCGACTGTTCAATACAAAAATTGTAAAAAAATAATCATACTTTCATTAATTGATTTTACGACAAATTTAATTTTATTATTTTTTAGCAAATTTTTAAGAAATACGTACCTGTGCTACGTATATCATAAACATAACATAACATCACACCTTTTATCCCTGAAGGGGTAAGCAGAGGTGCACATTATGCCACTGTGCAATGTCACACCCACTTTTCACTATTTATGTTACGAGTCCCATGTAATAGGGGGTGAGCCTATTGCCCTATACCGGGCACAATTCAAGACTCCGTGCTACTACCGGGATTTTTTTTAAAAACCCAGTAATATTTTTCCCGACCCGGGAATCGAACCCGGAACCCCTTGCCCGGCAGTCGCACTTGCGACCACTCGGCCAACGAGGCAGTATGCTACACAATATCCTACAAAACTCATAGAAAACTGTCTTTTTTAACCGATCAAAAAAAAGTATATTGAATTTGACTTGTACCCAATTGTGGCTTGCATTATTTAAAGAAAATATACTTTTTAATACTATAAATGTTCCTTGACAAAATAGGGAAATGGTCCAGTTATAGACCAGTCTGTCCTTTTTATAAATGATAGTTGAATAAATCGATCTGGAGACATTGCGATATCAGACATAGATACATTCACTCGAATGCAGGGGAGGCCACAAATTGCGTAACAGACGCCCTTGATTAAGTCAGTAGGTAAGTGGAACATCTTGTGGTTAGCAGCTTGAGACCGTCAGACCAACTCTAGCCCTAAGTAGTAAGATTTTGGAGATTGAAAAATTATGAGTAAGCTCCCTTTTACATTTTTCTTACAATTCGTTGACGTTATAATAAAATGCATTTGTCATCACCATCACTTCATCATATACTTTTTTCACGAGATTCGTAAGAGTAGAGTAAAAGACTGCAAATTTTATAAAGGTCGAGCAACAGCGTTCTTTGGTAAACACGGACCTTATAGATGCGATTTCCAATCCATCTGCCAGGCATGGCAATAGGTTAGATGCCTAATTTTTATTTTAATGTTCGCCTAGTAGATTATTTTAAATCATTAGACACATATTTTTTATTTTCTTACAGAAACGAATACTTTCGACGATATATTGATTTGAAATGTCGCGTGACGTCACTTCTATGTACCTACATTTTATATGTAGAAATGACGTTTTAGCCCCCACTTCTAAACTTTGATTCGTTTTATCTAAGTATTGTTTTATTATACGACAAAATTAAAAAATACGTGTCTAATATTTTTTCATTACCTAACTTACGGACTAATTATATTTTTAATTTTCGTACCCTGTCATCATCCTAATTATGGCAAACCTCATTAGGTCTGCCTACCTTCTCTGAAGGTAGTTCTGTAGAAGAAAGTTATGGGTTGTTCATTTCATTGTCAACGTTAAAAGACTTTCATCTCTCAGACGTTTTTAAAAAAATGTAAATACAAACAATGCATCATGCATCATATTCTAGACCCAAGGTTTTTCTAGACTTAGAGTGACAGAAACATCTCCATTATTCATACATTTTGCAACTATAACCTCATAGACATTCATTTATTCTGAATTATTAAAAAAAGACTAAAAATGCAGTCATCGACGCGACGCCATTCCGTCTGTTGCCAACTAAGATTGATATTCCTAAAATGTGTGTATGTATGTATGTAAGTAATTAGAATTACTTGACAATGTTGTCTCAACAAATAAAGAATTGCTATGTAGTTCGGTATTTGTAGTTTGCGTTTGTTTTTATCGATACACATTGTTGTAATTCATCGATAAATATGTAGGTCATGACTAGCCTAAGTAGGTAAGGTACCTATTTGTCTCAGATAATAATAGGTAAAGTTTTAACTAAGTACATAGTGGGCATCTCTACAACTTTACAAGAAGGAGATTGATTTACCCACACTAAATTATTTCAAATTTAAGAATATTCTTGGGAACAACTAAGTTTTAAAGGGATAAGCCCGCCACAACTTCTCAAAACTGCTGCAACGCCTGTAAGCCAGGATCTACAGTAGATACAACTATGAAAACACCGGAACACTGAGGTCCGGCACGTCCCAGGGACATGAATAACTGTCTTGGTTCCCGAAACGAAGTGAATCAGAAGATATTATAAGAAGAGAGGGGGAACAAGGGGAACAACTAAGTATCAAAGATTGCATCTGAGAGATTTTGACATATTAAGTTAATGGCTACAAACACTGCAACTAGGAATTTTATCTCATTTGCCAAATCGATTTAAAATCGAATATTTTATAAGCTTAAATACAATTAAATTAAAATGAAACAGCAATTACGTTTGAATGAAAACCCAGGAAACATAACTCCTACACGTCTAAATAAACCGTTAGGTACAAATCCTCGCCCACTCCAGTACATTATGCATTAGGCAATATTTTGTTTAACTCAAGCCTTCAGAAACGAGACAAACAATCATTTGTTTTGTCTTTAACTCAAATAATGCAGGTTTGTTTAACCCAGCTATGACAATTTTCATTTGCTCAAATCATTCAAAGATGTTGCTTTGTTCTTAGGGCGTTTATACATCCTACTAACAGCAAGTTCAAAATACTTGAAGTTTAATTAAAATTTTTTGCTTTGTTGGTCTAGTCGTCGATTTTTTTTTAAGGGGGGAAAATCATCGAATGACTGCTCCCGCCTGGGTGAGGCGGGAGGGAGTGTCAGACTCTTACTGACTAAAAACCACCCCGTTCCTTCTCCTGCACGTCGAGTCGGAGCCCCGGTAACCCGTTAGGTTCTCCGCAACACCAGAGAAGTCACAGGTGCGTGTCTGGCCTATTAAAAAGAAATACGCTCTTTTCTTTTCTTGACTTACATTCGCTGATATTAGGACTTGTACAGGTATTTGATTTCTTAATATTACAGCAATATTAAGGAATCGGTTTGCAGGGAGTTACTGAATGTATTGAAGGTAGCTTTCAAACGGCTGATCTGAAAGTCATTCGGAAGGTTTGTATGCAGCGGTAGCTAGTCTAGTTGATGTTCGTGTTGGAGCAAGTTTATTCTTCCAACGTTTACACTGCCGTGTCGTGTGTAGTCGCCTTTAATATCTATTTGCGTATGCCATAAAATACGCAGTAATTACTCCTTTGTGTAAACGCACTGTGCAAACTATTTACTTATTGTAGATTTTCATTAAATTTTAAATAGCGAACTGATTGATTTATTACTTTTGCATTAGTTTATTAAGAATGGAGTTCTATGGTCACGTTTTTCTCACGAGTCCCTAAGTAGTTGGTTTTCTGGAAGTTCTCTTTGCAGAGTCCTTGATGGTAAACGGTTATAGTAGCCTAGTAAAAAATATGTTCGGAGTTACCGCGACTCTCACGAAAAGGTTTAGACCTTAAAAATATTTATTTTGTTATTGTTTTGAACAACAAAATCCTACATTATATACTGTATAAAATGAAGAAAAAATCTCTTACAGGTATTTGGTAGAAGGAACCATTGTTGATTGTTCGATATGACGTCAGAGGCACCACAGGAACAGACCCGTTGCGGAGGAGGATGGGACCCTGAAGAGGCGTTACTGAAGGTTGACCCGAATCTGGAAAATACAATGAATAAAATGATGAAAATGAACTTGGTGAATATTGTAATTTGGGTATGATATAACTGTTTGAACGAATATTGGGATTGAATGTGTTGATAGAAAGCATTTTATAGGATGATTGCTTGTGTGAGATATCTACTTTTAGTCGAATTCCAACTCCATCTTTTTTTTCAAGTATCAAAAGAATATGAAAATTCTCTCAGACCTTCGTTACTCAACCTTGTCAGACACAGCATCTTATGTAGGCAATATTTAAAAAGTAAAATTTCTTAAAACACTATCCAAATTCAAAATTGAGTTTCTATTACTCAATCCTCAAAAAACATCAACCAAAATTCCGCGCACATCTACAAAAATGTTGATATCAAACTATGACAGCCAATTACAGAGTCAGAATGAGAAATTAAGAAATTATAGAGCAATTTGTATCGCATCGTTCGACTAACACCAACACATCGATGTTCTCTCGCATACTATTAGTTGTAAAACAACATAATTTCATCACTCGCTGTCTCGAAGGTGCGTCACCAGATCCAGGTCATGTTACGAAACGACTAATCTTCCACAAGTTAAGGCCATGCTTCAATGGCCTAGTGGATATGAGTAAGTGTTGTTAGGTAGCTTGTAGAAGTCCTGTGCATCATGACATTATTTGAAGTCACGTACATAGGTACAGTTGTAGCTTTTGAAATTGGACTTGGTTGAATGGTATGTCAGCTAGTTAATACTAGCTGACAAACCTAATGGTTTAGAAGGTGGAACATGATTCTTTGACATAGTCGCTGAAAACAGTCTGTAGTTTGCTTAGTGTTTAGTAAAAAGCAGTCTCTGAAAATAATTTTAATAATGCCACACTTATGACTGACCCGTTGTACGTAGTCAAGCTCCGTGCGGACCGTGCCATAAATACAGATTGAGATAAATAAGAGGCTAAATTTTACCCACGTAAGTGTAGCTTCTTCCTTATTAAATTTGTCATACGTGACGCAGTAAGATCTTGCATTTAGGTAATGATCAAACTTTCTTTAAAAACCGCAAGACTACGAAATTATGTAAACTCATCGCTACTTATGTATGAGATTAAAATAAATAAGATTTCCGTTTTTAATCATCAGTCGTTACTAAGCACGATTGATATGTGAAATTATTTATACATTTTATTAGTCGGCTATTCAAACAAAGACTAAATACCAGCATTAATTAACCATATCTAATGATTACATAAATTATTGATAACGTGTATATAATCCAAGCATGGGGCCAAGAATTAAGCCCTGTGGGACTCCAATTTCTATCACAAAGACTAAACTCACAGCTTCGTAGAAATAAAATGGTTTCTAATTTTAATTTCCTTTGCATATCTTGATTTGGTCATACTAATCTATTCACAACTGCTACTATTGCATACATTAGGTTAATTAAGCAGTTCATTTTCAATTCAATCAATGTACTCAAATCAGAATACATATTTCTTAAATTCATTCCCATTAACGACTACAGTTTACTCACGACTTGTATACTAGATACGGTGCAAACCTGTTTACTGTATCGCATAAATATAATAATGCAGTTTACGGACAAAGGTTTGATGGTCAACATTATCCAAAGCTTTAGAGAAGTCCAAGCAATACTTTGTATTGACAGGAATTTTAATTAAGGTTTGCGATAATAAGTTACAAATAGATTCCACTACTAATTGGAAGATCATAGGTTGAAATCATGTTCCCAATACTTAATACTTAGTTTATTTAATGAGGTTAACAATAATATTTCTGAAACGTGCTTCGTTGTAAGTGTTAATCAAATAAAATCTAAGGAGCTTGTAGCTATTTCAAAGGTTGCGAATTACCTAATGCACTAAAAATGTAGAATAGTTTTAACAAATAAAAGTAAGCAAATAAAACACTTGGAATTAATTATGCAACCAATAAAGTATTATTTTTATATTAATTATCTTCAATGTCAATCCCGTACAATGAACTGGTCTAATATGAATTTTGCGGATCGTGATTTTAATAAGAAGAATGTTAAAAAACGGAATCTATCTTATTTATTTAATTGCCTTTGCTATGTGGAATTTTGTCTTAATCTTTTACATTATTATAATAATTAACCCGTCGTTTGCCGGAACGCGAGACACAATGCATTTTCTATTGTGTCTTATATACCGGCAGTCAAGAGGTTAATGATTATCATATATCAGTTGATAGTCACCTGTTGCCAGTAATACTGGATATTGTGGGAGAGCCATACTTCGGCACAAATGGGTCACGGAGTGATACCACCGAAAACCGACTTGAAATAATTCTTGCGTTGTGTTTCGTCGTGTGAATGAGGTTACTGGAACCACAATTACCCCCCTGCCCCAATGTCCCTAATCCCTGAATCCCCAACAATCCTCCAATCCCTAATCCCCAAAAGGCCGGTGACTCACTTGTAACGCCTCTGGTGTTACGGGTGCCAATGTGCGACGCCGATAGCTTACCATCAGTCAGGCGATCCGTCTGCTGTTTAATTGCATAGAAAAAATATTACTTATACATATTTGAAGGGTTTCATTAGTGACTGATTTGACTTTGATCCTATCGGTAGAAAATCCTTAAGAATAAGAATACATATATTATTAATTAAACATCAAATAACTTGAGGTAAGAGCAAGATGACAACTAATTCATTTTCCAGCTATCAAACACAGGGTTTCATTTTATTACATATGCAGCACCAATTTGCAGTGACACCAAACAATCCATCGGTAGAGAACAAAGAACCGAACAGGACATTAGAATGTTTAGTACCATTGAACTTATTTATTGTGTGCGCGTGCGCTGTCGTGACTGTCGCTGCACTAACCGCCGTTTGTGGTTCCGCTCACGTTTCAATTTAATTATGCCCAATTAATTTATTGAGATTTTCGTTGACAAGTTGCCTGTAATTAAAATTATCAATGTCTATCTGCGGTCGAAGTGTCTATAATTACTTCAATGAAAAGTTCATTCTATATTTTGGACCCAAGAGTTTGAAATGAAAAGCATATCTATATATGGTATATATACCGTAGGGTATAGGTAGTATAAATACCGTATGGTCGAATGGAGAACCTCCTCCCTTTTTGAAGTCGGTTATAAATTAGACTGATCAGAAGATACCAAACTAGACCTTATACCATTAGTCTCAACAGATTCCAGTATTTAGTTTGGAGGTGGAGAGGGGGAGAGGAGGGTCGGAAAACAGCTAGGAAAGCAGTATCCACATTATTTCATCAACGAAAACAAACAAACTACCGTTGCATACCAAAGCCACGCTATACACAATATCATAACATTCATAACATAATAAAATTATATGCAATAATGTGCTATGACCTTCGTATTGAACTTGAGCATAAAAAGGGCTATTTAATGCTTCACATAACAACGGCCGCAAATAAAAAATATAAGCACCTATCGAGTAACTTCCGACTTACGTTTTCCTTCCTAATGATCGATCAATTAAGAATTTTAATTCGAGATTGCGTAATATTTAGTGTAAGATTGATTAGGTAGATGTGAGATCCTGACTTAGAGTATAAAGCCTGTTTGGTGATTTTTATATTTTTTATTTAGTTTTTTTAATAGCGGTGGTAACAACGACTCTATTTGTAAAAAAAATCCACGATAATTTTCAGATCGGTGGATCGGAATTCGGAAACGATCTACATCCAACGGCTCCTTAAAGCCTCCATTAACCTCAGTACCTCATGCTTCCAATGTGTTGTCCTCTATAATATTGTCTTCTGTATGGTGTACATGAAATGATATATAAATAAATAACCTCTTTTAAGTCGATATTTAAGACACAATAGAAATCGCATTGTGTTTCACATTGATCTACGCTCCGATATACCAGTTAAGGCATCTATCCACCTTGTGAGTGAACATCCTGTATTGAGCTTGCCGGTATGACAAAACTGTCTCATGGAAAATTACAATTTCCGATCAATAGATATCGAGGTTCAAATCAATTGTATAACCTTGCTTTAGTTAACGATTCGATTCTCAATGTCATATAATTTCCACACGCATACAAATTTACATTTAAAAGATTGCCAACGCACGATCGGAAATGATAGAAGTGGTTCACATAACTCATGTCAGTCAGACAACTGCTTCGTTTCATAATAAATAGTAATATCACGTTTCTTTCGAGGAACAGTTGAAGATGCATTGTATGTACTTATTTGTACTTATGCTGTATTTTTTGAAGGGGGGAAAGTCATCGAATGACTGCTCCCGCCTGGGTGTGGCGGGAGGGAGTGTCAGACTCTTACTGACTAAAAACCACCCCGTTCCTTCTCCTGCACGTCGAGCCGGAGCCCCGGTAACCCGTTAGGTTCTCCGCAACTACTTATGCTGTATACAAGTTATATGTATTTCTCTATTTGCCACTTTTGACTATATTCGTCGTTCGAGTAGCCATTAGGACGATTTCTGAGGGAGCGTTCCAGTATGGGCCGGATACTAGAGATTTTCGGATATGTGAAAAATTGTCAGTAATAGCATGAAGTTAGGAACGGTGCAATGGAATAACAATGTTACATAGGACTCTTTGAAAAGTGGGTGCTACCTACATTGCAAATCAATAAATGGGCACCTTTGCTTGTCTGCCTCAATTCACAAAGAGAAAATGGTATTTCCATGCTTTTAGAAGAAGTTAGCAAAGCGTTTATAGATTTTATGACGCTGCAGAGTTCGCCGGGTCAGCTTGTTATAAATGTGTGTCATTCTGGTCAATTTAATAAGTGCCTTAGCATAGAAGATTGTTAAACGTTTAAATAATCAGGTAAGTGAAGTCTGATCTTTTTGTTAGCAAATTAGGTCATCAACCTATAATAAATAAATTAAACAACATATGTAATTTATTAGTTCCGTATGTATAAATGCTAGTAAATAAGTCATGTTTAAATATGGAACATTTGTCGATGACGGAACGGATTTTTTTTTTTATTAATTTATTAG